GGGGGGGGGGGGGGGGGGATGGGGCTTTCCAATGTAAAGAAGAAGATACCTTACTTGAAGGTGAAAATTTAAGACTGAGGCGAGGTTTATGAGAGGAGGGGAAGGGAAATTTTTCATTCTCAACTTTGAACTTGATACGTTTGGAAAGTTAGCAATTTCGAACATGATTTTGTCGTATCTTTTTTTTTTGTATCTGTTTGCCGTTAAAAGAAGTCAAAATAAATCCTTTTTTAAAGAACTTACGGTTACGATGCAAGTTGTTATTACTTTGTCCCTTTGGCTTGCTCCCGCTGATGTGATTGCAAATCAGAGGGCTTTTCGGATGGGCTGATAATTTTTCCGTCTTTCTGCATTCGGCACTATTTATTGTATTTTTTGCATGTATGCAATGCAAAAAGTACATATTGTTGAGGGATTGTGTGTTTGTTTGTGTGTGTAGGTGTAGTGTCTGTCTTGGTTCTTCGATTTACAGACGTGCGATATTTGTGGCTATAAAATTTTGGTTACTTGCTTTAGCACTGTGGATGGGTTCTCATAAACTGGTACTTGAAGATATTTTGGCGAAAAAAAAGAAAAAAAACGATTTCGGAAACCAGACAACCCAAACTTCGTGAAGACATATTTGCCTGTTCGGGATCCCGAAGAATTTAAATTAAATTCAGTTTTCAGGCATCTCTAGATCTCATTTGCTCGCATGTAGAGTTAACTCCGTGCCAGCACGGGGGCTAGACTTATTAAAAAGCCCGTGGGAAATGTAATTCCGAGATACTGCTTGCTGTCCACTTATGTGATCATGAAAGTAAACTGAGCTTCCGCATCTTCCTATATCTCACGCGTGGGTACGTGAAATTTGACTCAGAGATTTTCGTAATTTCGGAACCAGAGCAACTAGAGCACTGAAATTTTTTGAGCATAACGCACGATCGTGTTTGAACAAGTGCACATAGGATTAACAGTTGCGTTTTCCCAGCCCTTAACATACGAATATGTGAAATTGGCATATCTCAATAGCGAAAACAGTTTGAGTGGTGAAATTTCCTGCGCATAGCGCGAGATCACGTCCGACAGGAGTGCACTTGGGAACAGTTTTTACTTCCCTTCCATGCCTCACCTACGGACACGTCCAATTTGAGGTGATTCGATCACTAAAACAGTTAGGGTGCTGCTTTTAGCATGGCGCAGGATTGTGTCTGGGCAGATGCGGATGAAGACAACTTTCACGTCTCCTATGTCTTACGTATGGGGCGGGGGGGAGGGTTGTGGTTTTACGTAACTCCGCAACCAAATCAGCTCGAGTATTATAATTTTTCGAGCATGGACCAAGGATGATGGGGATATCGAGCATATTTCGTACATCCAGGTGTGTCAAAGTGCAATGGGTTGGGTCACTTGTCAATTCCCAATTGGACAATCCGACGCAGTTGAGAAGTTTCTGGTAACCGTGCCTTGAAAAACAGGAATGGAGAGCGCAGGTGAAAATCCCGTCATCGTTTTTAGGATTAATCAAAGCAGAGGGAGGAGGATTCTGTAGGCAGTATCAGGGAAGAGGAAGATTCTGTGATTTCTATTTGTGAACCAGTATGTGGTCCCATTCATTGGCACCTTATTTGTGGAAATTCGATAACTATGTATATTGTGATTTATTGGCCTTTCTTAAAGAAGAGTGGCTAGAAAGCTGTAATACTCATCAGGCAAATATTGCTAGCGCTGCGCAGTCTTTAATTTTATTGGTGGTTTTCTTTTTAATTTTCCTGTTGCTTTTTTTGTAGTTTTTTCCGCTGTCCCTTGTCCTGCATTCTCTCAAGCTGATTTTTCTCAGGGCTTCTTTGAATTTTTGACACTTGTATATCAAATAGTGGGAATTCGCGGCTTTTAGCAACCACAATATACAAAGGTGGAAACTCGATCTAAGCCAATAGGCTGTCAGCTTTCGACCCTGCTTGGTAGAGGGCTTCATACGCTTCATTTAGCCTGTAAAGTTAAAGGCGTCAAAGAGCGCACATTTTTGCCTGTGGTATTAAAAGCTTTGGAGAACTCTGAACATGTGCAATTTGGAAACATGCAAAAAATTGCATTTTTATTTCACTGATGGCTTATAACATTGGTGACTGAGGGCAATTCAGTGAATGAAACGAGTTTTGTCTATTTTAAACTGCCAGCTTGTATATTAGTTCGCTGCTGTTCCAAGCTGTTTAGGCAGCATAAGATTTCTAGGACGAGAAGCGAGAGGTGAAAGCTGTGACACGGGCTCGCTCAAACTCAGGACAAGTACAACTCAGGAAATCGGTCGAAACGCTGTAGTATTTAACCTTGGTTCAAAAAAGGTCGCAAAAACCGTGGAAGATCCCATACCTCCAATAGCTTGATTTTTGCGGTACGGGTTTATTTAGGACAGGACATAAGAGGGTATGACTGAATTTGTCGCTAGATCGTTACAGGCATCACTTCATGTAGAGCTAAAAGCTTAAAAAAAAAATTGGCCAACGCACGGGCTGCCCGTGCGAAGATGCGTTTTTTGCATGGTTCCCCG